GATGTCTGGGGCAAGGTAAGGTTTGACTGCACCTTTTGCTGTGTCTTAACCAACTCTGATAACAACTACGGCAGCTACTTTTCTCTGTAATTTCACATCTTTAACAAACTTAAATGTCCAAATAAAGAGAACCTCACTGCAGTGACGGCAGAACGGGTCAGCTTAATTAGACAAATAAACAATGTCGTGAAGGTTTTGACTAAATGTTAACAGGGACTGAAATTCACTTTGTTGCAGTTGTTTGTAGGAGTTTTTCCTCTGAGTTTATTAAATACAGCAGCAGCATCAGACGACAGCAGGATCTGTATGAACATCTTTGAATAGAGAGATTTGCACGCATTTATGCAGGTGGAACAGCAGCAACTAATAATTTCAAAACAGAAAGTCACACTGTGTACTTCTTTCACCTCAGACAGGGTAGCTGTTAAACATAAAGTTACAGTTTATAAGCTTCAGTTTAACAATTTGTTACATGCTGCATCTGAATTTCGTCTTTGTTTATTAGTGCAATAATGTGCCTTATGTAACATTATGTAACACATTATGTACGTACGCTGTGTCGTGAGGAACATTTATGTAAAAGTGACATGTGTCTCAATGACAGAATGCTGTCACTTTAATAGACTGGTGAAAGTAGCAACATGGCATATCCAAGTCTCTGTGAAATATTAATTAAAACATGTAATAAGCTTTTAAAATGCAACCCAGGTGTCCTCAAAAAAGACTGTGTACATGTTAGCAGTTTATAAATTCTCATGTTTTCCTTTTAGAAATGATCCGAGTCTCATGACATTGTAAAATTATCCAACATTTTACATCAAGCAAAACTTACAATGCAGATTTAAGTTGCAGAACTTTGTTTTTTCTTCTTTTTTCCCCCTTTGATCATCTCTTGACCAATTTATCTTATTACCCTTTGGAAGGAACAAAGTCTCTGTGAAGCAGATAAAATCAGCTCCACCTTCACCAGATACAGCAATTACATGCTGTGTATACTCTAGGGACGTTAATGATTAACCCACAACTGAATAACTAAAGGATGTATTACCAAGTGAGGCAGAAGACGAGGGACATGCATACCAGAAAGTGTGCTGTGGACTAGCTGTAGTACTTAGTTGTTCCACCAGGTGGGGCCTCTTACTGCTTAATATTGTAGCATCCCCAGTCTCTTGGGCTATGTACAGTTCAGCGTAAAAAACCGGGATGATTTAGCTGCCAAAGGATTATTCATTATGTTGATAAAGTCGACTGTACATCATTCAGTTTGACAATTGATTGACAAAGCTGCTGACTCTTGCTGAAGAAAATTGTTTAAAAATTGCATCCCTTGTAAACATTGATGCATTAAAGGTGAAATATGCAACATTTTAAACATTAACATTATCTGCTGTGTAAAGACATAGTGGGGTAATAGCGTTCCTAGCAGAGACTTAAGTTACACTCCGCCTGTGTGTGTGGGTGTGTGTGTGTGTGTGTGTGTGTGTGTGTGTGTGTGTGTGTGTGTGTTGTAATCTGAGTTGTTCTGTTCTATGTTTTGGCACCTGGTCCATGTGTATGTGAGCTCCTCCCTTTGATGCTGTTGACGGTCCCTGGGCCTTTAAAGAGTGACCTCCCTTACTGCATTGTAAAACTGAAGTCCAGCATTCAACTGGTGCCCTAAAAACCATTCATGGTATTTACTCAATTTACATGCAGTAATTTCATTTTAGCTCAGTGTAAGAGTCTACTGGTGTTTTGAGGTTCTCCTTCTGCTCTCCACTCATGTCTACACTTCAGAACAACCATTAGATACATATAAATACCTTGGGACCATAGTCGATGAAAAATAACTGTAATAATCGTTCTTTGATTGAGTCTGTTTTATCTTTTTATTTGATTGCATGGTTAGGTCAGGGAAGGCAAGGTGGCGCAGTTTGTTAGCACTGTTG